GAAGATGGAGCTGGAAATTTTGGAGCCTGTGTGTCACCAGGGAGAGAGGGACAAGGGGCTGGGGCCACCGGGTGGAGCATGCAGCATAGGCTGGGTGCGGTGGGACGCAGAAGTCACTGTCCCCTCGCCCTGGAGATCTCAGCTGCAGGCGGACACTTAGTCTGAGGAGAGAGTCAAGGACTTAGTGACGTTGAGCATGGGCACAGGGGTGCAGCCCCTCCCGTAACTGTGGGACTGGCGATGCTAGTTCCGTCTTAAAATGCCCTCTCGGTAGCTGACGTGCTGTGGGATAATTGAACGCGGGAGCTGGGAAGCATCTTGGACGCGACACAGTGGAACAATTACCAAACTTTCCATTTTTGTCACATCCCTGCACCTCTAGTTATTTAAGGTTTTTCTTTCACTTAACTTACTTTAAATTTTTTTAATTTAACCAAAACAATAACAGTCATGATATCACGGGGCGATGTGCTAAGACACATTTTGAAGCTACGTACCTATCAAAATCACCCATCTTCATTCGGGAACCACCTCAAATTGTGTGTCGTGGCACTGGTGAGACACACGTCACTCTTCCAGGCCACGCTCCCATTTTGCAGGGGAGGACGCCGGGACCCGCAGACGTCAGTGGCGCGCCCGCGCTGGCACGGTGAAGGACTGATACTAGTTTGAGGCTCTGCCTGAGTCTCCTCAGCCACAGTCTTGATTCTTTCTGGAATACCGGGTCATGCTTCCAAGGACGTAGAAACAACTCTTAAATGTGATTCACGCAGATAACCCAGGGAAAGGCCAAACACCGTGCTCGGTGCGAGGAGGTGGTTAATACGGTTCCTTCCAGCCTGGACTAGCTGCTCTCTGGAAGCTTTTAGAATCTTTTTTGAATGCGCGTGTCCTGAGATGCCAAGGTGACGTATCTCGATGTGGCCACTGAGTGACACGCTCAGCTGTGCCAGGTGCTCAGCAAGCCTTTCCGCCGTCGGTGCTGGGACAACCCCTTGTGTTACCCGTTTGCGTATTTCCTCCCACCTATTTTTTTCTTTTTCCTTCTGAAATGTCCATTATTTGGGTGTTGGATTTCCTGAACCAATAGTCATCTCGTTTTCTTCTCTCCTATTTGGTTCTACTTTCTAAAAGATTTTCTTCCATTTCACTTTTTAATATTGCTGGTAAAAATTTTAAATTTCAGAACTTATATTGTTCACTTTAAAAAGCTCTTTCTCATTCTGTGACCATTTTTCATAAACTCCTATTCTTGTTTTACAGGCACACTGTCTTTTCCTCCGTCTCTGAGGATATTAATTATAGCTCTTTGGATTTTTCTACACTGCTTCATCCCCCTTGGCTCCTTAGCTCTGCGCGTTTTGGTTCCTTTCTCACGCTGGAGTCCTTCACATGTCTCGTGATCCTTTGTTCTCTGGTTATATTTATTTACTTATTTTTAATTTTTATTTTTTTAAATTAAATATGTTTAACTTGAGCCAATACATATTTATGTTTCCCCTGCTCCAGGAAAGGTATTCCACAGTGGAACCAGGATTCGTTAGTGTATCAGACAGACACAGTAGCTGTCATCATGGGGGCGAGGAGAAAACAAAAAGCATATCTAGGATAAGTCACAAAACATTTTTTTTAGATTTATCTTTTTTGTTATTTTGTTTTTTATTTTTAATTATTGTGGATACTTAATACTTGTACATATTTTTGAGGTACCTGCGATATTTTGTTACAAGCAAACAGTGTGTAATGATCAGGTCAGGGTATTTGGGGTGTCTGTCATCTGGAGTGTTTATCATTTCTACGTGTTGGTATCATTTCAAGTCCTCTCTTCTAGTTACTTTGAAATATACATAAGTTTCTTCTGTCTAACTGTGTGCTTGTACCCATAACCCACTCTCTTCAACCTACTCACCCAACCTACTCCCAGTTCTCTGTGTCCATGAGATCAAGCTTTTTAGCTCACAGATAGAAGTGAGAACATGCAATATTTGTCTTTCTGTGCCTGGCTTATTACACTTAACTTAATGACCTCCAGTTCCACCCATGTTGCTGGAAAATAACAGGATTTCATTCTTTTTTATGACCAAATAGTATTCCATTGTGTATATATACCACATTTTCTTTACCCATTTATTCATTGATGGACATTTAGGTTGATTCCGTATCTTTGCTATTGTCAATAATGCTGCATTAAACATGGGAGCGCAGGTAACCCTTTGATATACTGACTTTTTTTCCCTTTGGATAAGTATCCAGTTGTGGGATTACTGGATCATATGGTAGTTCTATTTTTAGTTTTTTGGGAAATCTCCACACTGTTTTCCATAGTGATTGTATCAATTTACATTCCTACAAACAGTGTATAAGAGTTCCTTTTTCTCCACATTCTTACCAGCATCTGTTATTTTTTGTCTTTTAAATCATAGCCATTCTTACTGGAGTAGGTGATATCTCATTGTGGTTTTGATTTGCATTTCCCTGATGATTAGTGATGTTGAACATTTTTTCATATATCTGTTGGCCACTTGTATGTCTTCTTTTGAGAAATGTCTACTCATTTTTTTTGCCTATTTTTAATGGGATTAATTGTTTTCATTATTGAGTTGTTTGAGTTCCTTGTGTATTCTGGACATTAGTCCCTGGTCGGATGAGTAATTGACAAATATTTTCTCCCATTCGTGAGGTTGTCTCTTTATTCTGTTGATTGTTTCCTTTGCTATTTTTTAAATTTTTTAATTGAAAAAAAAAATTCTAGGGATGAGGGTCTCACTATGTTGCCCAGGCTGGAGTGCTGTGGCTATTCACAGGCATGATCATGGCACTCTACAGCCTCAAACCCCTGGGCTCAAGCTATCCTCCTACATCAGTCTCCCAAGTAGCTGGCTATATTTTAAAATGAGACACTAAATATCTGATTTCAATGTCTTTATGAGTGAGCTAGGGCTTGTTGACCTTAAAACTTCACTGGAGGCCTCGTGGTGACCTTTCATTAGGGAAACCCTTACCTGTCTGGACCTGGAAGATTTTCTCTGGGGTCTTGGAGAAAAAAATCCTTCAATATACTTACTGCCTCCTGATAATCTGAGAACAGGGTGGGAAAAGGCAAATCAGTGTGTGACCCTTAAATCTGTAGATGTTCATGTACTCATTCCCCTTCCTACTCCTATGGTGTCTCCATCTGAGCCATTCCTCTTCCAGGCATCCCAATGGCGGTGGGGGACCCATCTGGGCGGCCAACCCTGAACTTCTTGCTGTTGGCTGTGGCGGTGACTTTCTTGGGCTCGGCCCTGTCCGTAGATGAAGTACGGACCCACCTGTCGATGAAGGAGGAGATGATGAGGCTAGGCGGGCAGCTGGTGCTGAGCACCCAGGAGGAGCAGGCCAACGAGAAGCTCATGGCCATCAAAATAGCCGAGATGACCGAGGCCATGGAGACCCTCATGTTCCCGCCCAGCATGCACTTCTTCCGGGCCAAGCGTCTCATCGAGAAAAGTCAGGTGTTTAATATCCTGAGGATGATGCCAAAAGGTAGAGGTTTGGAGAGGGGTGGTTTGGGGATCTTGGGAAGGCAGCTAAACTAAACTTGGAGCTGTAATTTTTACTGGAGCTGCTGTTGTTCTAAATGGAGTAGAGAGAACTCCACGCAGCTTCCCTGCTCCTCGGTCTGTACTGGCTGTCTAGGAAGGGGTGTTTGATTGTGGTCGTTGGCTCAGTCTGGAAACCAAAACCCCTGCTTCCCAGGGGACTCGGCTTCAAAGACAGTCAGGATTGGCCTGAATATTCCTGGCCAACCCTGACAAAGCTGGAAAAGCTTCCAGTCATGAGACAGTGCCCAGGGCTCAGAGGACGTACTGATCCCTTCAGAGCTTTCCTCACGGCCTTTCTTCTACCCTTTCTCCGGGGGCTAAGTTACCAGATGGGACGTGATACTACGTGGCATCCAGGGGCAGTGAAAACACACTTCTAGGAATAGTAAATAACATATAAATAGCAGTTTGCAGCTTACAAGGACTTTTGTATACCTTTTTTTAAAATGGTATAAACAGAGATTTTTGAAAAAATAATGGTGAGGTCAGTAAAGTAGCATACCCAGTTGGTGGGGATGGTGAGAGGTGATACACCAAAGCTCAGGCAGCAGGGCCGCCTGCCCGGGGGCTGTCAGGGAAGGTGCTGCGTGGGCTAGAAGGGCAGAGGGCCAGTGTGCACTGCACTGTGAGGAGCACCGGAGACACCTGCCATCCGGTTGGAAGGACACGTGTGCGGCCTCAAGGGTGAAGCCCGAAGGCCAGAAGCTGCAGAGATGCAGGCCCAGGGCTGGGGAGCAGACAGCAGGCGTGGGGAGGGGGTGGCTGGGGAGCAGGCTGAGAGGATCAAGGACAAGCATGCAGACAGGACTGGGCCCAGGCTCATTCTTCTTGCCTCCCCCCGTGCAGTGTTGGGGGCAAGGCCTCACTGAAAGGCCAGGGCTCCCAACAGAGAGCTGGAAGCTGAGGGAGCCTGGGCTTGAACCTCAGTCTTCTGATTCCAAGCCTCTTCCACCCCACCGTGCTGCCCCTCTCCAACAACCACCCATGGTTCTGACTAGTGAGAAAGGAAGACAAGGAAGCTCCACTCTTAAACTGAGCGGAGAGAGCAGCAGAGGGCGGGCAGTGGGGCGGTGGGGCTCTGGAGCCGGGATGAGAAAGTGCGTTAGGCTCAGTTCTGAGCAGCTCAGCTCGGCCAGACAGCGAAGCTCCTGCTCCTGCTCCTTCCCGCGCACCCGCTCTGTCCTCGCAAGCCCCACGCCTGGCATTGGCACCCCACTCCGTCATCCCCCATTCTCCCTCCTTCTCCAGGGGCTGCCTTACACCTCCATGACTTCGGCATCGTGAATATGGACTGGCTGGTGAAGAACGTCACCTACAGGCCCCACTGCCACATCTGTTTCACTCCACGGGGCACCATGCAGTTCAAGTTTGCTCACCCAACTCCTGCCACCCTGATGACAGAAGAATGTTCAAAGTGGATTTTGCTGGAAGATTATCGGAAGCAGGTGCAGAATGTCACTGAGTTTGACAACAGGTGAGTGGTAGTTCCACAAGCGGGCGTCACGGGCCTGTCACGGAGGGTGCAGTGTGCAGGTGTGTCTCCCTTGGTACAGACCCACGTATAAACATCTGGCCTCATAAGGGGATTAGGCAGCTTTTTCTCCTAACTTTGCAGGACACTTTTGCTTCGCAAAAGCAATTGGCGCCTTTTCTGTCCACAGTAATTTCCTGGTGCATTTAAAATCTGACTTGAGGCCGGGCGCGGTGGCTCATGCCTGTAATCCTAGCTCTCTGGGAGGCCGAGGCAGGCGGATTGTTCTGAGGTCAGGAGTTCGAGACCAGCCTGAGCAAGAGCAAGACCCCGTCTCTACCAAAAATAGAAAGAAATTAATTGGACAGCTAAAAATATATATAGAAAAAATTAGAAGGGCATGGTGGCTCATGCCTGTAGTCCCAGCTACTCGGGAGGCTGAGACAGTAGGATTGCTTGAGCCCAGGAGTTTGAGGTTGCTGTGAGCTAGGCTGACGCCAGGGCACTCGCCCCAGGCAAGAGAGTGAGACTCTGTCTCAAAAAAAAAAAAAAAAAAATCTGACTTGATCTGCAAAAGGCCTTATCAGCAGCAGTATTCTTGCCACAAATGAGATTTGTTTTGAAGCTCAGTAAGACCAGAGAGAAGAAAAGTCCCTAGCTCCTGAAATGACAGTCTGGCTGGTGGCTGAAGCAGCTTGAAAACATAATGGAACAGCTTCCGAACAGACATGTATAGTAATATTATAGTAACAATCATTTTAATCATAGGCACAGTGCTTTCGTGGGGTTATTTCTCTTTATGAAATAAGAAACATGATGCACAGCAAGGTTAGGTAAGCTGCCCAAGGCCACACAGCTGGTAAATGGCAAATCAGGGACATGCACCTGGATGATATGGTGCGAAGTACAGAGTGATTCCCATCACACGCCCGCAGCAATCTGCTCAGGCTGCCACCACAGAACGCCACGGGCTGGGTGGCTTAAACAACAGGAATTTATTTCCTGGAAGTCCTGGAGGCTGGAAGTCCAGGGTCGAACTGCCGCACAGTAGGTTTCCGTCCTTGGCGTGCGGCAGGCCGCCCTCTCGCTGTGTCCTCGCGCGTTCCTGTGTGTGCGCATGCCCAGCATCTCTTCCTCTTCCTGTAGGACGCTGGTCTTGCTGGATTAGGGCTCCGCCTGCGACTTCACTTAACCTGGACTACCCCCTTAGATGCCCTGTCTCCACATGCAGGCAGTTCGAGGTTAGGGCTTCAGTGTGTGAATTTGTGGGGGACGCAATTCCATCCATAACTGCCCCACAGAGAGCTTGGTCTGGGATACGAGCACCCCCACGGGGTGGGGGGCCGAGGCCGCGGAGGGCGGCAGGCGGGCCTGGCTGGGGCGCGCTCCCCTCCCATGCTGTCTCCCAGGAAGTGTGAGCAGGCGGTGGCTTCCTAGCCAGAGGCCAGGCTCACACTGGGCAGCCGGGGCGCTGCCTGTTGCCCCGTCCTTTGCTCACTGGGGTGAGTCTCGGTTTGCTTCTGGGCAGGAGACACTGCGTGGGCAGCAGCCCTACAAGTGCCTCCTAACTCCCCTTTGTCTCTGACAGCCTGCTGAGGAATTTCACTCTGATGACCCAGGACCCCGAGGTGACTTACGTAGACCAAAATGTCGTCTGGTCGAAGTTCGAAACCATCTTCTTCACCATCTCTGGCCTTGTCCACTATGCGCCAGTGTTCAGAGACTACGTCTTCCGGAGCCTGGAGGAGTTCTACAAGGACAACGTGCTCTACATGGAGATCAGAGCCATGCTGCTGCCGGTGAGCCTGCTCTCCCCTCCCCGCCCGCCTCCCCCTGAGCCGCCTCGTGTTCGGATCGTGCCTGGGAGGACTGGATGCTCGTGAATTTACCCCCAGGTCTCTGGTGCAAGGTGACAGGTGACTTTTCAGGGGCCACTGTGAGCGAGGAGACCTGAAACGGACAGGGCAGCCCCAGCAAATCTGGGGACACCACACTCACTGCCCTTTGCCCCCTTTCTCGTGGCTCCCTGGCGGGAGCTGGGAAGCAGGAGGAGAGTAAGGACAGAGGCATCCCAAGGCCGTGGAGAAGGGGCTCAGGAGTAAAGGGGGCCACGTGGCAGGACGTTAGGAGGGCACCTTTGGGCACTTCCAGTGGCGGCTGACCCGAGAAGCCGACTTCCGGGAGCAGAAAAATGAAATGCAGGCGATAAAGCGCAGCTGGGTCTGGCCGATTAAAGACCCCGACTGTGATTCGAGAGAAAGGAAGTCGAGGTCACTAGAGGAAAACACAGGGTGCAAGAGGTTTCTTTTTAGGGTAGAGAGACTTCTGTTCACATAAGGAAGGAGCGTGGCGAGGTTAAAAATAGCGGGGACAAAGAGGGCAGGATGTGGCCACCCTAGCACCCAGGGAGTGAGACCGTCCTGCAACCAGAGAAGGTTCTGGAAGACCAGAGGGAAGGTGGGTGTGGGGCGGATGTGACACTGGGCTGGCACGGGTCGCTGAGGGAGGAGGGCCGCCCTGCCTCCCCTGCTTCCATGGCGGGCGAGGAGAGACGCCCTCTGAGACCGCGGGCGGTCAGGGGAGGGCAGTGGGGGTTTGACAGAGCCTCCCGGGAGATGGGCAGCTTGCTGACCCCAGCCGGGAGAGCGATTCCCTGGAGAGGCTGAGGGCCGGCCGGCCGAGAGAGAGCCTGTAGTGGTCCGGGCCACGGAGGTGCCCGCCGTGTCACCCGCCACGCAGCAGACAATGGTCTGATTGAGCGCGGGGTAGCAAAAGAGCAAAGCGGAAGGACTGGCGTGCAGGGAAGGCTTCTCGGCTGAAGGGCGCGGGGACGAGGAGGCGGGCAGGACAGAGACAAGCGGAAGGTGAAAGAGTGGGAACTTGCAGGGTGGCCACTGAGGGGCGAGTGATCTGGGAAGACGGGGTGGGCAGAAACAGCAGGCACGAGCTCAGCTGGTCAGAATGCAGCTGCTCGGTGGGGGCTCCCAGGCAGAGCCACCCAAGCGCGAGTCCTAAGGGGCACGTGTCCTTGGGATCCGGCGTGCCCAGGAAGACCTAGATGAAGTGAGTGGAAGTGACTCAGGACCATGGCAAGAGCCCAGGCGCAGGAGAAGGGTCTCTCCTAAAGTCGGCTGAGAAAATGGGGTCCGTGGAGCCCTAACTCTAAGAAGAGGTTAAAAATTATTTTGATTTTAAGGAAGAAAGGTTGAAGAGAGAGAAATGAGAAGGATTAGGAAGAGTCCAAAAGGAGAGAGCGTTCTCATAAAAGTCCGACTCTAGAGGATTGCACTTCGGCCAGGAGCCAAGGGTGACTGGGATTCCGGGTACCGTGACACGGACCCGCCGTGTACAGACTGGAGCTGGGGGCGCGGAGGCTCCATGTTGGAAGGGGAAGGGTCTTTTGTGGAGAGCAGCCCTAGGTGATCAAATACTACTAGGAAGTTCCTTTGGTGAGTCTATTGAAGGGAACTTTCCTGAGGACTTTTATCTGGGGGGAAGATAGGGTATTGAGGGAGTGGGCATGATTCCTGGGCGTTCCATCTGGTAGGCTCACAGGGTTTGAGCTGGTTAAAGGTTTTTAGTGGCTTGGGGAAAGTGATCTGTGGGTAGAGTTTCCTCTACATTATATCCAAAATAATCTGCTCATTTGTTCAAATATTTATTGAGTATCTAAACACCTTTGTGACGGACCTTCAAGGTTGTAGAAGGGTCCACAGGGTGGCAGCATTTTGGCTTTTTTTAGAATATTCTTTTATCTTTATAAGCTCAGACATTTTATTGTTTGTAGACCCAGAAGTGATAGGGCTCCAGAGGACAGATACACATTGACCAAATTCATAAAGGATGAATGTATAAACAAGAAAGTCAGAATGAAATTATCATTCAGACCAGATACTTATGCTTCCTAATCAGGAAATTCTCTCCTCAAAGCCAAATTATAGTCAGAAGTTTGTTTGGTGAACTAGAGCCCTAATGAGTCCTGTCACTGAGCTCTGAGAACTCAAGAGTTGGTAACAGTGTTCTTAACCTTTCGGAAATATGTTAAAAGCTGTCACCATTGCTGGGCGTGGTGGCTCACACCTGTAATCCTGGCCCTTTGGGAGGCCAAGGTGGGAAGATTCCTTAAGGCCAAGAGTTCAAGACCAGCCTGAGCAAGAGTGAGACCTCGTCTCTACTGAAAAAAATGGAGAGAAATTAGCTGGACAACTAAAAATGTATATGGAAAAAATTAGCCGGGCGTGGTGGCACATGCCTGTAGTCCCAGCTATTCAGGAGGCTAAGACAGGAGGATCGCTTGAGCTCAAGAGTTTGAGGTTGCTGTGAGCTAGGCTAATGCCACCGAACTGTAGTGTGAGGGGGAGGGCAGTGCCTACAGAGAGAGACCCTGTCTCAGGGGGCAAAAAAAAGAAAAAAGAAAAAGAAACAAAAAGCTATCACTTTTTCTCCTGGAAACAAATAAGTACTACAATAAATTGAATATTTAAGACAATATTTTCACACCTATCCATATGCATCCATAAAATGTAACAAATGTTTCTGAAACAATGCAGTGTATAGTGACTCTGAGATTTTTGCATTGTCTCCTTTTCAAAAATTCTGGTTGGGATTCCTAAAGTGGCTTTCCTACCCTTAGTTTTTTTTTTTTTTTTTTTGAGACAAAGTCTCACTGTGTTGCCCGGGCTAGAGTGCCGTGGGGTCATCCTAGCTCACAGCAACCTCAAACTCCTGGGCTCAAGCAATCCTTCTGCTTCAGCCTCCCGAGTAGCTGGGACTACTGGCATGCGCCACCATGCCCGGCTAGTTTTTTCTATATATTTTTAGTTGTTGAGCTAATTTCTTTCTATTTTTAGTAGAGACGGGGTCTCGCTCTTGCTCAGGCTGGGTTCGAACTCCTGAGCTCAAACAATCCGCTGCCTTGGCCTCCCAGAGAGCTAGGATTACAGGCGTGAGCCACCGCACCCGGCCTCTTACCCTTAGTTTTATTTAAAGCATTCCAGGACCCTCTGTCATGAAGGCTACACCTGCCCCAAAAACCAGTTATTCCAGTTTGTGGGTCCCTTAATCTGAGACAAAGCTTCCTTCTGTCTCAACTCTCCCTTTTCTCTGGAGCCTGGACTGAGCCTCCTGTTCCTTAGCTGTGTTAACAGCCTCGGAAGGTGGAGTCCAGTCTCTCGGGTGACTTGGCTCACCTGCACGTGGACCTGCCGCTTGTTTATACTTCGACTCTCTGAGCGCAGACTTGTATTTCCATTTCCGAGTTCTTGAGGAATGGGAGCAGGACTTCCCTCTGCCTGTCTAGCCGGAAGGGGAAGGCTCTCTCATCAGGACAGAGCAGATAGATAGGTGCATAGACCTGGGCACAAATCATCTTTTAAAGAAAAAAGAGGGCCTTTGCTCCCTGTAATGCTTGTTTCCAGCACCCACAGGTGTCACCTTGTGTTGTTTGTGTCATAACATCTAAGCCCTGATTTCCCAACCAGACAGTGACTTGTTTCAGGCACCAGACTGTACGTCGCCTGGTGTCCTCTGCAGGCGCCACTGGTGACAGTCACGCTTGTTGGGGGCACTTCTCAAACGCTGAGATGCACGTGAATAATTTGGAGGTGCCGCGTGTGGACCCTGACCTCCCAGGGTTCTGATTCTGTGTGGTTGGGTAGGGCCAGGAAGCTGAAAAGTCAACTAGTGCCCCCTCCCGGCCCCCTCCCCGTGATTCTGATGCAGGTGCCCCGACCCAGGCCCACTTGGAGACGGCACCTTCTTCACCTCGACCTTCATAAAGTTCTTCACCTGCACCATCTCCTTTGAGCCTCACAGCGACGCTGTTTTAGAGAAGATATTAATTCATTTTATCGATGTGGAGACTAAGGCTCAGAAAAGGCCAAAGGGCTTATCAAGGTCACATAGGTTGCAAGGGGTAACCAGATCGAGGCTTCCAAACTGGACACTTGCCTCATGGAGCTGGGCTCTCTGGGCCTCGTGGTAGTCACCTCATTGCAAAAGGAGGTCCCTGAGAGGGCGTCCGGCTTCCATTTTACCGCTTCCGGGGAAGAGTGGCTATCCCTAGGATGAGCCGGGCCTTGGCAGGGGAGTGGCTTCCTGTTGGGCAAATCCCGACAACTTTCTTAGTGTGGGGAGCGGGGAGAGAACCTGCGAGCCTTGCAGAACACTGGGCTCTTCAGTGGCTGACGGGAAGACCAAGGAGGGAGGAAAGGCTGGGCGAGGATTTGGGTCTCGGTGGTTCTAAGGGCTTGACTTTCATCTTGAGCATGATGGGGAAGTATCTGGGCAAAGTTGCTGAGAACTGGGATTGGAGGGAAAGAGAGAGGCCAGAGCACTGGTTGCTAGTTCCACCTTCCCCTTTTCTGCAAGTGAGAGCGAGTATTTTCACCTCCCTGGGTCTGAGGCGGAGCGCCTCCGGCTTGGGGCGCTTAACATGGGGGTGCCCAACTCCCTCCTCTCTCCTACCCTGCCCCCACCCTGCCCCAGCCAGCCTTTCCAGAGGTGCCGGCTGCTGGGATTTCAGATTCTGGTGGGGGCTGGAGGGGATGGGATTTGACCATTTGTTCTCGCCTGACCCTGGAACAAAGGCCTCTTGCCGCAGAGTCTAGGTCCTAATGCCCCCATTAGCCAGAGAGGGGGCCATCGACACGCTAGCAGCTAAAAACAGTCTTCCCGGGAATTCTGAGCCGCTTTACCTCCCTGCTCAGTCGTGGGCTAATTCAGGGCTCGGAATGCAGTTGATGGACTGTCCTGGCTGCTCAGCCTCCCATTGTGTTCCTAATGCTGGATGACAAAGGCT